TCAAGCCTGGTCTCGGGTTTGACTTTTTTTGTGCCCTGCTCTAGGAGGCACATGTAGTTGGCTAATGAAGAGCCAAGGAATTTTACTAGCCAGCTTTTGCTGACAGATTAGGGATATTTTTTTTAGTTATATCAGTCAGGTGTAGGATGAAGTTTCCAGTTGTGTTGGACAGTTGCTGGGCTGTCAGCTGACAGTCTGGATTTTGCTGAAATTAGTAATGTTTATTTTATGATGTTTGCTATACAATCTGATGATTGTCATTTTATTAGATAGGGTAGCTTTTTGATAGGGGCATGGGTTTATGGATTGAGTAACTGAGGGTTTGGATACTAAACCTCAATTTTTCATGTTATTAAAAAACAAGGTTTATTAAATTACTTATGCGGGAGGTTGTAACAAACTAGGTTTTGTTGTAAGAAATTATTCAGTATAGATTCTCAGTCATAGACATGGGGATCGCGTGGTCTTGAAAGTTGGAGTAAGCGGGTAGTCTACCTGACTTTGGAGCGGGAAGGTCACCCCCCCCCCCAGGGATTAGAACTGGCATGCAGAAACAGGGTCGCCACCTCTCCTTTGATTTTAAAGTACCACTTTGAGTAATTCAGGTATTAAAGAAACTAATTAATAACTCCTGTTGTCAAGTATGTAATTAAGCTAACATCATGTATGAGTGAAAAATCAAATCTCCTTAGTTTAAGATCAACTGACTGGCAGATGTGGCAACATCGACCTAGGTCAGGTCACCGCCAGTAGAGGTTCCCCCTTCTACTTCCAAGACTCCACCTTTTGTTAAAATCAGTAATTTAGAGAAATTCAAGTTTTCATTAATATTGTATTCAGTAATATACCTGCTCAAGTATCTAGAGATTTCTCAATTTTTGGAATAATGAGTAAGTCACTTTCAGTGACATCATTAGGGAGGGGAACTAGTTTTGGAAGCATAAGAATCTTGACCACCCTGGGTCCAGAGGTCACCAAAACCCTCCATATTATTCAATTCACAAAATCTCTATCTATAGAATTCAGATCTCTAGTAAATATTGTAAATGGATATAGCTTTTGCCAAGATGCCTAATTTAATTACCACCAGTTAAATGATAATTCAACCATCTGGGGTTTGCCAGTAATTAGGATTAGTTTGTTCAAGTTAAACCCTGCTTGGTAAATTGATGAACCTGGCAGAGTAATACTTACTAGCCTAGGTCAGTCCTTAACTGAGGACAAGTTAGATAGTGTGGTTTGGAACAGCAGCGGAAGAGGTTCTCCATCTTGCCTCCCAAGACCAGAACACCATCGGCTGGTTGTCTTAGATTAAAGGTAAAAGTTTGCTGAAGAGTTTGTACAGTGACTGTTCATGTTTGCCTCTTTTTCTAGATTCAGATTAGGGAGTGATTCTTATTATGTTACATTGCTTAGTTTTTTATTAATAAACTCTGTTAAGATTTTCCCGTCCGTATTTTTGAGTATCTCCATCAATGATATGTACTGATTGTCCTGGCCGTGGTCTCTACGAGTCTGGGTTATTGGAATGAATCATTCTGAATACTGCAAGCAAGTCATGCTATCTTAACTCCCAAATATATCCCTTTGTTTTGTTTGAGTAATTCCCACACTTAACGTAAATTCATCCCCATTTTCCAAGTACTCTGGGGATTAAGCTCAAAGGGTTAATGATTGATTAATTGGCCCAAACCCAGAATAATTAATTTGTTTGTGTCGCTTTGTTTGGTTTGGTGGTGGCAGGCAGAAGATCCTCGAGTTTGCTAGAAAGCCTGGTGTCGACATCACGGGTCTGTAGAATCTTAGACAATCGAATGTCTAAGACCACGTGGCGTGGGACTCAGCTGAGAGTTAACTCTGGGGTCTTGGAGTTTAAGTTTTAATTACGGGCGGGGTAAACTACTAGAGAGAGCCGAAACAAGGTCCCGTGTTACAACGTTGACCCTTGGCATGACCAGAAGGTAGCCACAACATTGGTAGCATGAGACATGACATAACTCTTGATTACAGGTGCCCTGATGCCAGATTATAGTACTGTATAGACAAATACAGGTATTACAAGATGTTTAATGATACTGTACCTGCAGCTTACTAAATTCTTGTTGATACCTGCTTGATGGGGTTCTGGGAGTTGTTCTACTCCCAAGCCCGCCCCGAGGCCAGGCATGACTTGTGAGAGTTTGGTCCACCAGGCTGTTGCTTGGAGCGGCCCGCAGGCCCACATTCCCACCACAGCCCGGTTGGTCCGGCACTTTTTTTTAGAAAACAGTCTAGTTTTCTCTTGAAGATGTCCACGGTTGTTCCGGCAACATTTTTTATAGTCACTGGGAGGATGTTGAACAGCCGTGGAGCTCTGATGTTTATACAGTGTTCTCTGATTGTGCCTATGGCATCTCTGCTCTTCACTGGTTCTATTCTGCATTTTCTTCCATATCGTTCACTCCAGTACGTTGTTATTTTACTGTGTAGATTTGGGTAATTTGGGCCCCTCCAGTATTTTCCATGTGTATATTATTTGGTATCTCTCTCCTCTCCTTTATGCATAATCATCATTATACCATATTATTGGCATACTCAACATTTGTATAAAGCTGTAACTATGTGAGAAACAGGTAAAATATCCATTTGTATGGAAACCAGCACCATGGTATCCTGACACTTGGCCCACAACTTATCTTTGACCAATGCCAGTTTTTAGTTAATATCTCCATAACTGTTTCCATGTACAGTGTCAATTCTAGTGTTATTTTATAGAACAATGTCTTTTTATTCATACCTTAACTTTTGCAATAAAGCTAATATAACTATTTCATTTACTCCACCATTAACATCAATAGTTTGTTAAGTGTATCTTGCCCAGCAACTTTACCCTATGAAAAATATTAATTTACATTTTATAGAAAAGGCAAAAAGAAAGGAAGGATATGATTGAAGTATTTAAATGAATGATAAGATAACAAAGGAAATATGAACACTGCTATATATTTTGACATAAAATGTTGAAATATTTGTATTCAAAGCCGAATACAAATGGGATAGGTTTTGTAAAGACCTTTGTAAATCACAGGTATATGGGAGAAAGGGGGTGGATTTAAATGGGACCCACCTAGTATGGGCCAACAGGCTTGCTGTGGTGCTACCCAATTTATATATTCCTTTTATTTATGTAGGTATGATAAAATGTATATAAATGTTCAAAAAGAGAACTTTTACAAATTTTTTCTACCACATTTGACTAACTCTCCAGTCCCTGTTTATGCTAGATGAACAGAGGCATTAGGTGAAAGGAAATATGCCTAACCATTTCTGCTCCATCTGGGATTCGAACCCGGGATTCCTAAATGTGAGTCTAGAACAAACCCAGCTGTACATCCAAGACTCTATTATTCATCACATGTCAGTTTCTTCATGATTTACACATTACATATACTGTACATACATACAGTGAGCTTGGTCAGACTAAATAGCTGCCTCATAAGAGACAATAGGTTTTCCTTAGATCATGATTCTTAATCGAGGATGCAAGAATGGCTTGGGAGGGATGCAATCAAGGAAATGGTTGTGGACCACTGCTTTAGACATGTGTTCTAGACATGTGTTCTAATATGTGGTTATACAGTACTGCTGTATACAGCAGTACTATATGTAAATTCGCTTACAAATGAGAGTAATGTTTAATAAGCACCCAAATACCGGAGCCAGAGAGGCCAGACACCGAGCATCACTTTACATCTGGCCAACTACATAATTTGGTTAATATTTCAGTAAGTACTGTACAAACAGGCATGACTGTGATGATAATTTATAAGATTGGCTACAAACTTTTCATGCTAAACATATCATGAGTGATTCTGTAATGGTATTATCTACATTTATAAATCCAATTCAAACCCCCTTATAACTTGCTTTAGGGAGCTGGATACTGGTAACTTTACCCAAACCCTATCTAACCTAATCAAATGATTAAGTTTGGCATGGTATAGCTTTTAAGACAAATGTTTTTCAATACAGTAAGCATTATATTTTTAGTGCCTATTTTGACAATAAGCCTTATAATGCATACAAAATTAACTGCAATAACTGTACAATCAACTAGAAAGTTCATCAAATGTTAAGAATTAATACCATACCATAATGGTTGATGAAAGGTTCACTTGATCAGTTATCATAGCACCTGCTGCTATTTTGATAAGATAATTATGATAAGTATTTTGATAGAAGTCCCATTGGAACTGCACTTTTTGATACTCCTTCAGTGCACCTAACTAATTAGATGCATAACAGCATCTTTATGCTATTAATTGGCTAGAAAATGGTGGGGGAAATTAGTTAAATATGAGAAATGTCCATAGCTAGCATGTTTCATTAGTCTGGTAACTCCAAAGTTTTGTGTAGTACTGAAACTATCAATGCCTAACCTTACCTAATACTAAGAAATCAACCTGAAAAATAAACCTAAAATTCAAGTGTGTTGCCAACGCATTGATAAACGTAACATTAGGCACTAGCATTAACGATCAGTGAACGTATCGAATACACGCAGACATACAATAACTAGCAAACTACAGTATGTGATGTATGCGAAACAAAAAAATATAAAAATAAAAATCTGTATACATACCGTCTTCTGCACGAAAATATATGTATCCCTTAAGAGTGTATGACTGACCTCAGGAGATGAGCATCACATTCTCTGCTCAGGGATGCTTGAACACACACCACCTCTGGCACAAGTTTAATTTCCACTGTGTGCACCAAGCACTCACCAGTCACGAGACTGAAAACCATTACAGAACACAGGCAGAGTGCGTGGAAACCCTTTCCAGCCACACACCAGCCTTAGCAGCAACACACACCACCACCTACGACACTTTTCAACACTTTTTAAGAATATTTTCTCTCAAGTGAAGCCAATGATAAACATTGGAGTAGCCGCACCACCTCTGACCCGCCGCCCTGCTTTCCCAGGCAAAGGTGACCCTCAAGGAACTCTGGCTTACCTTAAAATACTCATTATTATTAAGAGCGGCAAGGTTATTCTCATATTTATTGTAGATAAGCCTAAGATGTTGGTAGGTGTCCGGTAAAATGTCGAGAATGAATGGAGGAGAGTTTTTCAAGTTCATTTTGGATTGCTGGCACTGCTTTACCACTTTGTCCATTAATTTCCACGTCTTTTCTAAAGTTCGTCTTTCTATTACCAACTTGGGTGGAGCCATGGCATCTGTGAAGGCACCGTGCAACCGTGAGATAAATGATGAAATATTTTTTGGCTGTCCGTTCCGAGCCTTGCCACTAGTAGCCATCTTGATAGCACTGGGCAGGCGCGCCAACCCTCCCGCGCCGACACCCACACCACAGTTATGAATGAACTCTCCCCTCCTCCCTCACTAACTCTCCCCTCCACCCTCACTAACTCTCCCCTCCTCTCAAAATGGCTTAAATGTGGTTCCTTAGGCTCCTCTCCGCTGGAACACTAGTGCACCGTCTACCCTGACGGCCTGTACTGAGCGGGATTGTGGCGAGCAATGCTGTTTCCTGTTTAATGAGATAATGATATCGTGCGTGATATGAACCGGATTTAGTACTGTGGCCCGCTCTCACCCAGTTTGTTTTGATAAGGCACTCGAAAAGAGCGTAATCTACGAGCATCTGTGTCGTGAACTATGAATGAAATGATTAATAATCGAAGAGGTTGGTAGACCTTCGCTGAATATTTTGGGTCGAGCAGAGAAGAGCAAAGCAAGGTGATGGGGGTTAGGTGTAGCAGGCGAGTCTCGCCTTTGCTGTGCTAAGCAGTAAGGGTCACGTTTCTCATGCACCCGTATAAGCACGCTTATCCTGGAGTATTCCTTGAGGCAACTTTCTATACCACAAGTTACTTCATTTCATAGAGTGAGTATTATAGATTTTCACCTTTCATATAATTAATTAGACTATATTACGCCAGTAAGGCAATGCACATATCAGTCCTGTATATTGCACAAGTGGAAGCTGCAGTAAAAAGAAGCTTTATACCAAACCCAAGGTATATTAATCTATTAATCTTGATGCTTGATTAATTATAATCAAGCGTACCTTTGACTTTAAGGAAAATATAGTAGTTACACAATTGTAATAAATCTCTGGTGCTTGGATTATTACACTTAGATTATTGTAACCAAGCATGGAGACCTCATCTCCAGAAAGACATACCTTTTTGGGAAAAAGTTCAACACCGGGTAACAAAAATCATTTCAGAAGTAAATCGACTCTCATATCAGGAACTGATAAGGGCCACAGGAATAACAATACTGCAAACCAGACATGATAGGGCTGATCTCGTCGAAACTTTAAAGATACTGAACAGTTTGGAGGATATTGACCCGGACCGAGTCTTCAAGAGGTAAGGTGTAACACAAACAAGTAGTAACGGTTCCAAGCTCAACATAAAACAAATAAAACAGGATAAAAACAGTAGGATAAAAACAGGCGAAGTGCTTTTTCACCCATCTATTTATATGAGTGTTTGGTTGCTTGTCTAGCCTTACGAGCACACTATAGCCCGTGCTACATGAACATTTCGTTTTTAGTAGCTAAACCTAAAATACCATGCTTGTCTATCAGTATGAGGTTGGAGGCCTGATGCTATGGGCTAGCCTCATCCAACTTCGCAGGGTAAATGGGCTTGGGTACGGAGCGGGAATAGGCTGGTTGGAGTCGGTACTATTAAATCCTATTAAGACGGGGGTTGGCCCAAAGTGACTCCCCTCCCCCCAACACCTAATAGATGAAAGGTGGTTCACCGAGTCCCAAGATTTCTTCACGAAGAGCGTGAACTTAGTATTACAGAGAAAGAGGGGGGGATATTTGAAGAAAGAGAAGGAAGAGGGTGGAGAGGTGTAAGTGGGGGTGTTGATGGAGAAAGGTGGAAAGGGGAAGATTAGGAGATATGAAAGGATAGGTGTATTTTGGGAGGGTAAAAGTTGGAGAGGGAGAGATGGGAAGTGAGAGGGGATAGTTGTCGGCTATCCCGCCCCCCTCCCCCAAGTAGGGTTTGGGGAGGGGGGCGGGGTAGCCGACAATGGAACCCATGGAATGAATGACTATCCGCCATAGAACCGACTATCCGCCGAAGCCATAAATTCAAACTCCAGATAAAAAAAAAATCCTCATGAACAATGAGGGACCTTTGAAAAGCCACCAGCTTCGTGTCCCCGTTCAGACCACTTGAGAGATAGTGGCTTTCAAGTAAACTCAGGTAAAAATCCATCAATATCAGGTTATGATATACCCATCGATATCCTGTTAAGGTATATCCACCAGTGCCATGCTATGCAGCTTTAATTAAATTAAATTTTACAAATATTTGTACAGTATTTGGGTATATACGCAGAGAACAGAATGAAACTGGTTGTAATGCACATACAAATATATTCTTCAGGATGTGATGGTGTTAATTCATAATTTTGAGAATTGGGATATACGTGCATTCTTTAGGAAGATACCGTGTCTGGAGGAGAGGGATATATGTTGTTGTTGATCCCACTATAGCTCACTTGCTATACTCACAATCATTCAAGTACTCATATATCGCACTCACTCAGAGTTGTACATCCGTTGTATAAGTTACCACTCATCCCAATAGCAATACGCTAACTGATAAGACAAATATATGAGTGTGTGTGATTGGATATAAAGAGGAGTACCTTCACATGGACTCTCTTCAGATGTCTGTATTGTTTCATGTACACTTACGCAGTTATCAATCCTTCAACTCGTGCACTAATACGCGTATTCCTGATCATGCCTCGAGTGTTTATTTGTAATGCCGCCTCACGTGAGCACACACTCTCACTCTGAGTTACAAGCCATGCATTAAACACTATGCAGTATGAGGATTCCTATAAATATCCAGCAACACTAGACAGAATACGTATTATATAATTTTCCTCGATAATGACAGAAAACCTATTCTACCACCCTGTAACCAAACCAGTACATTCCCAGCTCTCGTAGGACAGTTGGCTTCGTTCTTTACTCACAGTCTTGGATCCTGGGTGGGACAGAAATGGTTGGGCACGTTTCTTGTTACCTAATGTCCCTGTTCCTCAGTAAACACACACACACACACACACAAAAGAGTTAGGGGGGGACATAATCACCACATTCAAGATTCTCAAGGGAATTGATAGGGTAGATAAAGACAGGCTATTTAACACAAGGGGCACACGCACTAGGGGACACAGGTGGAAACTGAGTGCCCAAATGAGCCACAGAGATATTAGAAAGAACTTTTATAGTGTCAGAGTGGTTGACAAATGGAATGCATTAGGAAGTGATGTGGTGGAGGCTGACTCCATACACAGTTTCAAGTGTAGATATGATAGAGCCCAATAGGCTCAGGAACCTGTACACCTGTTGATTGATGGTTGAGAGGCGGGACCAAAGAGCCTGAGCTTAACCCCCGCAAGCACAATTAGGTGAATACACACACAGAGCCAGTCATATATTGGCCTCACCTTGGCAGAGACGTTCATTAACTCCGGCCTCATCATAACTGTTCATGATTATTGTTATTTTCTCTCAGTTGCTGTGGTTTCCCATTGTTAGGTTTATCCCGATACTCTAGCTTGCTTCTCTTGCTGTCTCATGTCTCTGACAGTATCAAATGCTTTCTGACACTCGAGGAATATGCAGTCTTTCTGTCCCTCTCTCTCATGATGGATTTGTTATCTTATTGTATTAGCTCTGGTAACAGATCAGGTTTCAGCTTATAAACTTCCTAGACGCTTTTGTTAAATTTGTCACAAACTCTCCTTATCATGCTCCATGTGGTCACTTTTCTTTTCTGTAGCCTGATCCTCTGGTCATTCACAGTCATCTTCTTCCGGCTATGGAGCAGTTTAGGCTGAGCGTGGATGATATGTTATTCTCATATTGTTCTTCCGCCGCTTTCTTAATTTGCGAGGACCAGTTTCTCGTTTTTTTTAATACATTGTGATTTCCAACTATTAGGTGCTAGTTGTTTCGTTGTCTTGACTCACGCCATGCATAACCATGGGCCACCTAGCTTCTATGGGTGGTAAGAAAAAGTCAACGTTTTATTTTATCGAAACCTAATATAACTTGTCCTAGGCCTAAATGACCAATCATAGGACTAACATTCGAAAACTTAGGCCTAATTTAATACATACATGTACTATACTAAACTTGGGGAAAGTTCAATTTGGTTGTTTTCTTCTTTCTCGGATTCTACTAAACTAATTATATAAATCGTCACCTTTGTTGATGCAAAAGTATATATTTTATGCATTTCACCCACAATGGCTATAAATGTTATTATTTTCGGATGACAGGTTGCACTCAGAGGTTGTATGAATCTTTCTTCAACTTCTTTGAGGTTCTCGTTTTGTAGTTCTCTCCGTCTTGTAATGTTTTTCCTCAGTTCTCTTTCCCATGCTATTCCCTCCATGAATTCTCTGACCTTCTGGTAATTCTTTTTTCGTTATACTAGCCATACACTTTCCAGCCATTTGAATTGGTCGGTTAAGCGACCATCTCGCTCCTTGCAGGTCGGCGTTCGATCTCCGACTGTCCAAGTGGTTGAGCACCATTCCTTCCCTCCGTCCTATACCGGATCCTTGCCCCTCATCTCCCATCCGAGTGTTATATAGTCGTACTGGATTAGCACCTTCTCATGATAATTACCTTACCTTACCTCTTCCCCCGTTTTGCCTATTTCTATACCTTCATTGTTATTGCAAATTTTAAGAATTTGTTTCTTCCCTGCCATGTTGCACCAGGAAGTTCCGTTCTATTGCTTCACAATCTTTGCTCTTAAAGTCGCGTCTTGACCTCTCTGGTCCATTGTTGTCCAGTAAATTTGGCCATGGTGGCAGTCTCCCATTACTCGCAGCATTGATCTCAGTTTGTGGGCTGTCTAATAATAATTTTGTCAGGGACAGGCAACCTGTATATATATACATTAGGCTTGTATTGAGGTCCCTCCCCCAAGGTCGAACTACTGACCTTCCCACAATATAGTTGACTAACTCCTGGGTACCTGTATAATGCTAATTGAACAGAGGTATTTGCTGAAAGGAAAAATGCTTAACCATTTCTGTTCGAACCCGGGATTCCAGATTGAGTCGAGAACGAACTCAAATGTACTACCAAGGATATTTATGCACGCTTCATAATTTAATATTCTTGCCAAGGTCTCCTCTGGTTCTTCCGCGGAAATGATTCCCACAATGTAATTCTTGCAGTTACTTTCCTTTTTCAAGGAATCTCTTCAAAAATCCAGTTTCTTTTCACCAGCTGTGCCACGTCTCTCCTCGGGACTCTTTAAATTGTCGTTACCTGATATGTCCTTGGGAATATTCCAGTGGTAATCCTATCAATTAATTTAGTGTCCACTATGGCTATAACGTTAGGCTTTGTATCTACAAACCATTCTTTGAGTTTGTCAGCTTTATTAGACAGTCAATCAGCATTTGTGTACCAGAGCTTGAAT